CCTGACATCTGCAGGAGGGACAATGCAGCAAGACACAGGCAACGCAGGAGATTCCCAGAGAGCATCGATGACAGGAGAGCCAAGCAGGAGCAGAACTCTGCTGGACTTTGTGCTCACAAAGCAGGAAGGGTTCACTGGGTGTGGTGACTGATGGATCGCTGTCATTCAGAGAGCTCTGGGATTAACCCCTCTGTATCCAGGAAACAGGTTCTCCCAGGATGACCACCAGGACCCCAGCTGGAGGAGATCAGCCACCCAGACCAACCCAGCTCGATTACAGCCAGAAACAACCCTGAGAAGTTCTCTCAAAGCATTAGCAAAGACTCTTATGACGGTAGCTAAAAGGAGACCAAGAGGAAGGCTCAAATTGTGCTTATTATGGTTTTCAGGCAGAAATTTATTAAGACACGGGAACAACTCAGTGCACAAGTACCGGGCCCTGGTGCCAGGATCCTGGGCTCTCACCAGGGCACCACCTTCCCTTCCCAGTCCAGGAAGGTGCCAGTGTCCTTCTCGGAGAGGGAGGAGAGCACCTTCAGCATCCCTCGCACGCTCTCGTCCACCGTCAAGGGGGGCTGCGGGGCAGAGGGGAGAGGCAGCCCCTGGGTCAGGCCTGGAAGGGGCTGCCCTGGAGCAGATCATTGCTGGGGGTTTGGGATTTTCTGCTGTGAGTGAGGAGAGGCCAACACAGGGCAAGGAGAGGTCCTCGCCTCTGTTTTTGTTCCCTCAGACCCACCTGACAAAGTGCCTTCCCAGAGACCAACATCCCTGGGTTCTTCAACCCACAGGAAGCTTGGCATTCCCAAATAAAGAGGTTCTTCCAGACCCTGGCCAAGAGGAGACTCTTACCTTCAGTGACCCGGCGCCGCCCATGTCGGTCTGTACCCAGCCGGGGTGCAGAGCCACGCAGAGGATGCCGTGCTCCCGGTACCCCAGGGACTGGCACCTGCTCAGCATGTTCAGGGCAGCCTGTGGGGAGACAGGGCAGGGGTGGTGCTGGGAGGGGACACGGGCAGACCCAAGGCAGGGAAATCTGTCCCTGGCAGGGCAGTACCTTGCTGCAGCGGTACGAGACAACATGTGTGGGACCCCACATATAGAGTTCCTGGATGGACCCTGCTGAGCTGGAGATGTTGACGATGGCGGCCTTGCTGCAGCTCAGCGCTGAGCCCGGGCTCCCCTGGGCAGCCTTCTTCAGCAGGGGCAGGAACGCCTGCCAGGAGAAGGACAGAAGATAGGGATGTGCACAAAAATGGCACAAGGGAGAGGACCAGCTCCTTCCATAGCAGGCAACCAGCACTGGAGCATCCTCCCTCCCCCATCACTGTCCAACTCCTCAGCCCCAGCCCATGGCTCCATGAGCTTCTTGATAAGTCAGAATCCATTGGGCACCAGAATACAGGCAGGACCCTCTCCCACTGACAGTTGTGGCCCCCAAGAGAGGTCAGATCAGAGACTCAGGGTCACAGGAAAGGATACTTCTCAGAGCTGTGTTTTGGTGCTTGCTTGAAGGTCTGACCTGGCTCAGCAGCAAGGGCCCAATCGTGTTGGTGGTGTAAATCTCAGTCATGCTCTCCTGTGTCTCCATATCAAGTGAGTTTGGCTTTGCCATCCCAGCGTTGTTGATGAGGAGGTTCAGCCCCGAGCCCCCCAGCTTCTCCCCCACTCTGGCTGCAGCTGCCTTGATGCTGGCAGGGTCGGTCACTTCTGCAGAGCAGACACGGGGGAGCTCAGTGCCCGTGTCCCCGGGCTGGCTCGGAGCCCCCGGTGTCCCCCAGGACAGCAGCCCCCGGTGTCCCCAGAGGCACCGGCCCCTCAGGGCTGCTCCCTCCTGGCTCTGGCTCCCAGGCTGTGCGCAGTGCCCGGGCACAGGGGCACCAGGCAGAGGGACCCCACCTCGGGGCACCTACCCAGCGCGACGGGCACCAGGCTGGGGTGCTTGGAGGCCAACTTCTGCAGCTCCTGCAAGAGAAGGG